TACCTCGATATAGCCTTAATTCACAAGCTATGTAAACAAAGATAGATAGTGGCTAGCGGTGGAATCCAGGACGCCCGTTTCGTTTTATTTGTGCACAGTATGCACATACGTCAATTAGAGACTGACCAGTTACAGACCTAACACATCGATGGGAAGATTCAAACAAACAATTCTAAATGAATTTAAATCAAGTATGTTTGAAATAAAAGATTTGCTTAGTGGAAGTTGGTATTAGTGTTCTAGACTCACCTGGCAGTGCTAAGGAGGACAAAAGATTAATAAAGATGCTAGGTTGCTCATACCGGTCAAACGTCATTGTTGTAGCACAATGCTAAGATTGTATATAAGTCATATTCCGATTAACGAATAAATCACGTGATATTAAACCGACCTTAAAAGATATAACACTAATTATTACCAATTTTCAGGGCATTAGAGTTTATTTATAAATAAATTAATATATTTGTAGATATCCCAAATGAATAGAAAAATTAGATTTTCTGACGTTTCGTGACTCAGTTTAAACTACTTCTTCAGAGAGTAAATAATCAAATTAACATTAATCCAAGTTTAAATAGTACAAAGGGACAAAACAAGAATATTATGTGCAATCAATCGAAAAACAGGTCTGAATAAATCGATGTCACGTCATTTCATTTCGGTCAAGGTGATTCATAAATAACATGTATGTAAATTTGTGTGTGTATGTGTGCATTGTTAATGGTGAAAAGTGTGTGACCTTTATAATGACAAAGGATAGACAGAAGGGGATTTGTGGAGATTTCAGTATATTTCAAAGTTGAAATCATAAGTCAATTGAAGCTAGACAACCATTGAAAACCTGGAAGCACTGGACGGCCGTTTCGTCCTATTACGGGACTCCTCAGCAGTGCGCACCCACGAGATTCGAACCCAGGACCTACCAGTTACCAGCCAGAGCCCTTAAGCGATAGACCACCGAGCCGGCATCTAACGGTGTTAATGTCTAACTTCAACAAAGGATAGAGTTTAATTTGTAATGTAATAGTTTGAATTGTAAATAATATCAGACTAAGTGACTAGGATAGATAATCCAAGTAGGATGTTTGGTAAGGACTTCCTTTCTATTGAGAGCAATAGGATTAAGCGTTATATAGAACACTTCAGCTACTCTCCTTCCTTTGTAATTGAAAAAACCTTTTTGTTACATTTTGATAATTTTGAAATCGATTTGATGATCGTTGAAAATGGAGTGAACTGTTATTGCCGATTTAGTTTGAAGTCTATCCAATTCTACAGGATTATTAGGAGGCTTCTTTATGTACCTAATATATTCTTTGGAGCGAGTCAAGATTTCGCGATATGACTCTCCAACATAGAAGGCATCGCAATCGACACAACCTAATGAGTCAATTGAAGCTAGACTATCACAGTGGATGAGTACAGCTGAGGAGTCTCATAATAGGACGAAACGGCCGTCCAGTGCTTCCATGTTTTCCATGATGGTCTAGCTTCAATTGACGCATGATTTCAACTATGAAAAGATCTGTATACTGTTATTATTACTATAATTCTTAGTACATCTAAGTACAACTTCATAAAGCGATAAAGATTATGTAGAAAACAGAATAAAATGTTAAATCACATGGCCACAGAACTAACCAATTAAATAGAAAGTGTAATAAATTAATTGTCCTTAAACCTACGGAAACCTGACGTCATGCATTATCAGATGATAAGATGCTTGCTTATCCTTCTTTGAAAAAAAAAACTATAACTGGTCTCATTATGCAATGGATAAAGCAATCTATTATACTAAGATTATTTTGTGGAAACTTGATATATTTGAGGGAAATATTTATCCGTTGCTTCATGAGAATAAAATCGACCACAAGTCTGTAGGTACTTCGATAAAAGACATAAAATAGCTTTGCAGCCTATACCTTCGACAAAAATCCATTTAAACTCGCAGCATTATTCAAGGTCCAGTAAGAGTAACTACTTGCCGAACGGATATGTAGGACCTGTTATTTGCCTTTAATGCGAACTTACAAGCTAAATTATTACATCTCGATGGCAATGTATAATATATATAGAACGTGAAGCATACTTGTAGTTACTTCAATGTCTGACTTCAGTGCTTCAACTGGTATAGTGTCAGGTCCTGCCGCTTTCGCGCCCTTGATTTGTCTGATGAGCATGATGATTTCTTCAATCATTTGTGAACTGACATCTATAGGAAGGTCTGTGTGTACTGCTTCGATGTCCAGGAGATTCAATGGAGCTGGTCTATTCAGCAGTTCCTCGAATCATTCTGCCCATCTTTTCCTCTGTTCTTCAATCTCCGTGATTATCTTTCCTTCTTTGTTCTTGATGAGTCTATGCGGTTTACTATATTTACCTGATAGTTTCTTCGTTGTATCGTATAGCTGTTTCATATTCCCTTCTCTTGCAACTTTTTTCGCCGTCGTTGTTAGTTCTCCCATGTATTTCTGCTTGTCAACTTTAATGTTCTTCTCCAATTGCTTGTTTGCTTCAGTGTATTCAGCGTGTGCCTTGACTTTTTCTACTCGCGTTCGGCTGTTGCTAATTGCTGTTGTCTTATTCTTTCTTTTTTCAATCTTGTCCACGGTTCCCATAGTGATTCATTACTTATGATAATGCTTTTTGCGGCTCAGCACCTTCTGACATATTGAAGTTAGTTCCTCTTTGATTCATTTGCAATTGTTTTTCACAGTAGCCTTTTCTTCTTCGAATAGATATTGAAGGGCTTGGAACCTGCTGTTGAGAGTTATCTTGAATTCTATGAGTTTGTTAGTATCTCGAAGGAAGGTTGTATTCAACCTTTGTAATGCTATTTTCCCAGCTGTTCAGTGTTTCTTTAGCTTCAGTTTCACATTAACAACAACCAGGTGGTGATCTGAAACTATGTCAGCTCTTCTCCTGGTTCTCACATCCTCCATTGTCGTTCGGAATTTTTGTCGATACAAATATGATCTGTATGGTTCTCTGTGGTGTAGTCCGGCGAGATCCATGTAGCTTTGTGCATGCGTTTGTGTGGAAATATTTTGCCGCCTACAAACAATTTGTTGGATGCACATAGATTTGCAAATCTCTCCCCATTTTCACTTCTCTCCTAGTTCATATCGTCCAATTATATCTTCATATCCGATGTTGTCCACTTCGACTTTATCATTTAGATATCCAATCACGATGGTGAGATCCGTTCTTGGGCATTCCGCTACGATTGATTGCAGCCTTTCATAGAACTGATCTTTATCGTCGTCATTGTTATCATTTGTTGATATACTAGATTGAATAACATTGATTGTGATTCCCTCCTTTATTTTGAAGGATGCTTTGATGATCTTAAGTCCATGAGATTTCCACCAAAAAAGTGCATTTTGTGCTAGTTTGGACAGCATTAGAGCAACTGCCTGAATGTACAGAGCGTGACCGGAGTACATCAGCATCTCTTCCGTAGCTAACCTTTGCTGTCCAGTGGGTTTCGATGATTCCGAGTACTGCCAAGTTTCATCTCATTTTCATTGCTATTTGACTGGTCCTTCCGGTTTCCTACAATGTCAGAACGTTCAATGTACCTATAAAAATTGTTGCTCTGGTTGTTAGGAGCATTGTTCTCGTGACTTTAGAGGAATCTCGAATTTCATCATGAGGAGTCATAATTCTTCCTTCAACTCTCAAGCCAGAGTTTAAGTGGTTTAATTTATATAATCTGGTTGATTTTTTTCTACGAGATGGGGTTGCCGACCTCATGCTGAACCCTCTTCCTTTACCCGGGATTGGGACCAGTAGTAACTCTAGAAGAGCTACAGGCGTAGTTATATATATAATTATAACTTACCCTATTCCCATAGTAAAATTTGAATTTGACTTTGCCATACTGCAATTATTCCTGCTAACTTGCATTTATTAGTTTCAATGCATTCTATCATTTCCATACTTTTATTACGTATCTGATCTTCAAAACAATTGAAACGTAAAAGAATAGTTTTATTTTTAAAGAATACTCATCGATCTTTACGCTACTCTGAAAGATGTATCATTGTTGTTACTATTTAAAAGAACGATAAAAAAAGAACTATATAATAAAACCGGCTAATAACCTCATTTCCTTATTACCTAGCAACGGACAACAACAACAACAACTGATATTCATTATTTTAAAAAGGTGGATCTATCCACATTTAATACACTGAATGTAACTAACTTTCATGTTATCGTATACTACAATAAACAAGTTACATTATCAAAATGAGATATACTTAAAATACTGTATTGTTTTCCAATCATCTACTATGACAGAGAAAAAAAAACAACTTCCAACTGAAGGGGAAATTAGGAAAAGAAGTTGGAAGTGGATAGAACATACGTTGAGAAAATCATCAAACTGCGCAACAAGGCAAGCCCTAACTTGGAATCTGGAAGGGAAGCGGAAAAGAAGAAGGACAAAGAACACATTACGCCGGGAAATAGAAGCAAATATGAAAAGGATGAATAGCAACTGGAAAGGAAGACTCAGGACAGAGTTGGATGGAGAATGCTGGTGAGCGGTCTATGCTCCTCGACGAGGGGTAACAAGCGTAAGTAGGTAAATAAGCGATTTATCGGTCGGATCAATGAACACAAAACCTGTACAAGAAGGTAAGCTCTAACTTTGAATCATGAAAGCGATATGAAAAAAGGAAGACGAAAGAACACATTGTTTTGATAATCAGAGGCATAGGTCAGAAGAAGCAACAGCAAGTGGGAAACAACTGGAAAGGAAAACCCGGAAATAGTTGGTTGAATAATCCTGCTGAATGACCCACGCTTCATGAGGGGTAAGAGGCGTAAGTAGGTACATTTCTAATTTAAACTGAAATAGGAAAGTTCATTTTGTATTGGGTTTTTTTAATCTTCCTATTGATGTCCAGGAATGTAACTGACAAGTCTTTTATTGGTATTGTAGTGAACAAAACACGACTGGGGACAATCGAATGTATTTTAGCACAACATTACAGAATATCTCAGTAAAATCTGACAACCATATAGTGAACAGTTAATTTGCAAAATAACAATCAATTGTCTCAATCATGACTGTTTCTTCTGCAAATATCCATCCATAGTCTCCAATTATAATTGTTCATGCATTTTCATACCAATTGCGTGCTGTTCCCGTTCTCTTCTTATCAATCTTCTACTGAAATACATTCAATGCACGATCACCACCATATTCTACTTATGTGGATATCAGTAACCCACAGCACAGTATAAGTGCATCATATGCGGATTGCCTCGATATTGCCTTAGGTCATAAGCTTTATCAACAGAGATGGATAATGGTTAACAGTGGAATTTAGAACACACATTTCGTTCTATTTGAGACTAGTCAGCTGCTTAAAATAAGGTTTGAAGAATCTCCCTATTTTGTATACTATGTCCGTTAAAATGAGAAGAAAAGAGAGAGAAAGGACAATCCCATTGTACTATCCATCCATTCCTACATACACACATATTAAAACCGCTTATCAGGTCAGTTAGTTTTATTTGACAAAGCTCTCAACAACATGACATATTACTTACATATATAAACATAATGAAATGAAGAATACGACCAACTTAACAACAACAACAACAACAACAAGGATTCAATATCATTAATCAATTAAGAAAACAGATATGGAACTTTTCCAAGTTTGAAAATTTTCCAAAGAGTAACACAAAAACTAACAAACATCATCACAGTCTCATTATAACCAATTAGTTGATGCTATTAGGTCGTGGAAAAGAAAACAAAGAAGAAGTAGTAGTCTTTCATAGGGTTGTGTACATATCTAAGTTGCACAAGATCATTTGATTAATTGTCCAGGAGAAAAATGTATCCATAAAGTATCACATGTATAACCAGTAAAGCATGGACTAACAGTAAATGAATAAAGGAAGAGAAGATATGTAGAACATGACGGTTGTCTAAATAAAATGAAGGTAAATCAAACGAGAATCTTGAAAATAAATCTCCTACTAGACTGAAAACTTTACAGCATATATATGTACTATTATGATTGACATAATTTCATGCATTAAATTAATCAAATAGAAGGTATATCACTTATGATCTAGAACAGGTGAATCTGAAGAAACACGCAATGATGATGATAATGATGTCGATGCGGTATCTGGAATAGAATACTCAGTGAAGTGTTGCGGTAAACAAGATGAAATTGGATACGAAGAAGAAGAAGGAATATGATTAATATATTCCTGCTTTTGATTATTATGTATATAATAATGTAAAAATGTTAAAGGGGTATCATAAAGATAATGTGAAAATCTACGTAATTTATACAAAATAGTAAATCCTGATTGAGAGAACAAACGAATCATCCATCTTAGATAACATACTACTGAATAATCATTGAAATATTCATATAGAGTGTTTAAATTACAGTTTCTTAGCATGATAAAAAAGAGAGAGAGGGAGGCAGTTAAGGATTAGCAATAAATATTCATAATGATTTAATGTATATAAATGACTACTGTTATATTGTATGAGTTCATGAAACAGATTATCTATACAAATTTGCTTATGAGAGTATTCAGTAAATTACATATTGTTATAAACGGTAGGACATTTGTTATAAAGTCAGGGTTTCCCGTCATAAGTCCTTTTACTTTTTACTTATTTAAACACATAAATATTGGTACAATCGGGCACCAGATATATATGCGCCACAAAAAATCTCATTTAATTTGTGTGAGGGCTGTGATACTGTCCAGGTGCACAAACTGAAGTAGGTGGTTTTCTTAGGGGGCCACACCCCCAGCCTTTGACCTAAGGGTCTGATCCACAAAGCAGTGGAGCATCGTGTGGAGATGCAGTCCCATGGTAGACGGTGACCAATGATTGATTCATACGCCATTCGTTCCTTCAGGATACTGGAGCCAACCCATGTGCACCATTGGTTTGGAATCAGGGTTTTCCAACTCCCTTAGGTGAATTATCCGTGTCCACCAACCCGGTTAAAGTGCCGGACATTCGCTTTTCGTTCTCTCAATTTTGTACACAACACCCCTTGTGTGAGAAGGCAGTGAGTAGGACTTCCCTGGCAGAGGCTGTATACACGTGGCCATGTGAGCATTTCGAGAGGGAGAGGTGAATCTTCCCACTCTCGACCGTACCAGGGCATTTGGGGGCGTTAAATTACCTTAGACGAATATCTACAACCAGTGTCTATTCTACAAGATTTTAATACACAACTCAGATCAAGAACACGAGATTAGCCTGACTAGAACGTCAATATATTTCCACACTAAAATCCGATACAATCCAACAACAAGGAACAGTCAATCAATAATAATCCGAACAGGGAATACATATAACACATATAACACTTGACACACTATCTACATATGTCTGGCTCAGCAAAACAACTAATCATTATCACTCTCGCCCACATATCACATTTGTAATGAACAAGTTTGAACAGATTTAGTATCTTCGCCTACATGAACACCAATTAGCAGTCAAACACCACGACATTTCTTCACTCATATCAATACACGTGGACAACTACGGACATACATTCGACTGGGAAAATGTGCAGATTTTGGACAGAGGCAATTCCAAAAATACCAGAGAATTTTTAGAAGCTTGGCACTCAGGTCAATCAGTAATAAACAAACATATTGAAATCAATCCAATCTATCAGCCAATCAAGAAAATTATGCAGGAGCATAGGAACAAAAATCAAAACAATAGGAGAGACAATCAAAACAAAGAAATAAACAATGACAGATTTAAGGTCAATAAGAACCAATCAACATCGAGGTGCAGAGGACAAGCTGTGAATCACATGTGGAGAAATTCAAACACTTCACTTCTACCCGAAGTTTGTGCTGATGATGTCGTTCAGAAGGACGATGAAAGCTCCACGACCAAACCATCCAGCTCAGAGAACAAACCAACATAAAAATAATACATTCATTCGAAACCCAACAACTTAATCAATTTTAGTCAAATTATGATTTCCAATATCAGTGATGAATACTATTACTTAAATTTATCAGTGGAATGAAATTGACTGATGTTATTCCCTAATATATGTAGTATCAAGTACAAGTTAAATTATTTTGTTTTATGTTATAATTCAGATGTGAAGACTGATAATATCAATTGTCTATCCAAATCGAAATACGTAAAGGATAGTTCAAACCTGAAATTGATATGCATATTGGGTTTATAAGCAAAGAAGAATAGTGGCTAGCAGTGAAATCCAGGACCCACGTTTCGTCCCATTTGGGACTCGTCAGCTAGATGTACCTGCATCTCCGAATTTATGTTTACTCTGGGACTCGAACCCAGTACCTTTTGCTTCAAACACCATCGCGTTATCTAATCAGTTACTGAGTCCTGATAGCCACACGCTTGTGCAATGGGGTGAAGTTTAAATTCACTTAGTATTGTTTGTTCGAGTCCCAGAGTGAACATCAACAATGAGATGCAGGTACATCCAGCTGACATGTCTCAAACAGGACGAAATGCGCGTCCTGGATTCCACTGCTAGCCATTATCCAACTTTGCTTATCATTTTATAGTTAAGATCATGAGTCAATTGAAGCTAGACCACCATCGAAAACCTGGAAGCACTAGACGGCCGTTTCGTCCTATTATGGGACTCCTCAGCAGTGCGCATCCACGATCCCGCTCTCGTGAGATTCGAACCCAGGACCTACCAATCTCGAGCCAGAGCCCTTAACCGATAGACCACTGAGCCGGCATCCAACGGTGTTAATGTCTTTGCTTATCATGCTTGTGAATTAAGGCTATATCGAGGTAATACGCGCAGTATGCATATATGCTAATTAGAGACTGACCAGTTGCAGTCCTAAACATGAATGGGAAGATTCAAACAAACAATACTAAGTGAAAGTATTTTTATGTCATTATTAGAGAACTCTGATTAGTATTAACAATTTAAACGTCACAATTGGCCATCATCAGAATAACGATTCATTATTATTCAAAAACAAATACGAGACATATCACACAGAAATGAAATGGACATCTCTTTTGGCTTTTTAAACCCCATGTATCCAAGCAACACTCATATAAACGCACGTGAGTAACGATTGGAACAAGTTCCATTGAAATGTTAAAACACTGAATAGACGCGAACGAAAAAGAGAATATTGAAAGGCTTTGCATTTATTCAATAAATAGACATACTGAGATAAACTCAATTCATCAGCCAATAAGAAAAGTGATCAATAAGTATGAGGTCAGATATTAGGTGAACGAAAAATATATAAATACTTAGACAAAGACAACACAATTATGAACAACAGTCAGTTAAATCTTACATTAACAGAACAAAACGTTATTCATGTGTAGGGATATTTGAATAGCTTTTTTCAAAGCTAATACTGATGGTATTGTTCAGTAAGACAAAAATAGTCTTATCTTTGGATCACCCAGTTCAAATAATATAACACTGAAATGGTTTTAGATATGTTGAACTTGGATTATTCATATACTTCTCTGGAATCATTTATAGCAACGAAACATAAGCTAGAGTTCTAAAGAGTCGATACTTAACAAATGGATCGCATACTTGAATACAGTCTTTTCTGCTTCCGTTTAGTCGAGTCGAGTCGCATTTCTCTAACTTACACATTACCAGTGTCCCCTCAAAGTTCGGGAAGTAATCCCATCTTGAGAATGGTAGGTCCTGGGTTCGAATCTCGCGAGTTCGGGATCGTGGATGCGCACTGCTGAGGAGTCCCATAATAGGACGAAACGGCCGTCCAGTGCTTCCAGGTTTTCCATGGTGGTCTAACTTCAATTGATTCATAATTTCAACTTTGAAAAAAACTGAAATCTCCACAAAAAACCCCCCTTCTAATCCCATCTTATTATTTACTGAAAGTTATTACTTTTCCTGTAAGTTAGAATTTCAAATGCACTGCTGCTTTTATTCCAAAATCATCAATAACCTGTACACCCGAATAAAACATATTTTATTGTTAAACTACTGAAATGACAAATCGATGTAAAATAATTACAAAGCAGAAAATAGGCTACTTACTAATACAAAGTAATATGTTACAAATAGAAACAATTTATACAGTTAACATCAGTAGGTAGATTAAATAATAATTCCAAGTAGTATCTAAAAATCTTAGAAAATTTTTGGGATGATATTCTAGGTTGAAAATCTAAAAGAACCCTTGTTTACCAAGATAAGAGTAATGAAAAAAAGATCAATAAAATGGACGGTTTACTGGATATCACATTTAATGATAAACCCTGACAAGATTAAATAATAAGAATGATGAAAGATTATCTTGTTCCAATGAGATAGATGGGTCAAATCACTACAAAAGTAACTGGAAAAATCTCAGCTTAATAAGTGTATTAGTTTCGAACTGATACCTTGAATTTGACTAAATGGTAACCAAACTATAAATAATAATACTAGTAATAGTACTGATAAACTTGAACAAGGATACATTGGTTTACAATCTAAATGTCCACCATTTGTATGAAGAACATATGTACAACCATCAGCAGATCTACCATCAATTGTATAACAACCAGGACGTACATGAAGACAAATAAAACCACGATTTTCATAGAAACGTCTTGCATGTAGATTACTATGTAATACATGAAGATAAACAGCTCGTACAGGAGAGACATGTGGTAATTGTGTAATTAGATTGTATAAAGATTTATAATCTTTGACACGCCAAATTGTAGATGGAGATGTATCGCTACACTCAGTTGATACCTAGATGAAGAAGAATTAAAAAAAAGAGAAGACATAATAATAAACAAAATCATAGTTCTCAGTATAAGAAGAGGTTTGTGAGAAATATTAAATAAGTGTTTTACCTTGAACAATAATTTAGCTGGACAATCATCATAAGTCAGGGATTATCGAACATCTACTTCATCTTAATACAAAATTCCTCACCATGCGTGCAAAAAAACTAGCCAGGTACCGAAAGTTTAAGCTTTGAAGAGAGTCCCTCACTAGTTAGTTTAATGAACGAGAATCCCGTGGTTTACAATTCCGAATTTAGTCGACGTACAATATGGTTGGTTAAATCTATGGCAAAAATCTAATAGAAATACTAGATCCAATGAATTGGAACTAATATCAATTTTTATTCTTAATAAGCTGGATAGTTAAATGGAAAAAATGTTATAGTATGATTTTTATATCGAACCTGACCTATATTGACAAATAAATATATGAAATGGTTAGTCAGTCAGTCAGCTACAACGTAGGACCAGGCACATTTATGCATCAATCCAAGGTGCCACACCTCATTAGCACAACAAGATCAACACCGAATTCATAGAACTAGTTTATTCTATAGTGGTAATATATAAAAGAAAGATTGTATATAAGAATACAGTACAGGAAGAAAGACAGATATGAAGCCATTTTCATCTCATAGCTTAAGGGAAGACAAAGAGTGTATACACTACGCCATTGTGGTTGATTCTGAGTCATGTCACACACAGTCTCCAACCATTCGTTACGAGTCACACGGACTCCAACCAAGTAGTCTGCATCTACCAACATGGCTCAGACTAGAAGTTAATGACTTCAAGCACTGATGCCACATTTTAGCTTGGCCGCCTCTCCCTATGAAATGGAATGGTTCGGATTAAGGATTTCAACAACCAATCAGAAAAGATCAATAAATATGAGTTTATTTAACAACACCTATGGTTTGAATATTACGTGTAATTTAATTAAATTTAATTAATAAAATATTCTCATATGTTAATAGGTTAAATCGGCCATTATGCAACAGCCTACAGAAGATAACGTGATCAAAATTGCATTAGCATAGCGGAAATTAACATATCTTGATTAACTTAATTTTATCAAGATAATTACAATAATTCTAATAATTCAGTCAGTCAGTCACAACGTAGAACTTTGTACGTACGTACATCAGTTCGAGTTGCCATACCACATTAGCACAGAGATGCAGCTGTCGATTCAAATACCATAGTGGTAGAAGTAGTAAGAGTATAAGCAGTAATCCGAAAGATTAGGGTTTGAAGATGTTATTAAAGGAGTATAATACAGTGAAATAAATTTGGAAAGAGAAAAAGGATACAGACAAGAAGAATTCAGATTAGAATTTGGTAGAACACAAAGAGTGGATGCACCTGCAACATTGCAAACGATTTTGAGTCATGTCATTCAAGGTCTCTAACCATCGGTTGCTATCATCTCGCGAATCCCAACCAGCTAGTCTACACTTACCAACATGACTCAGTCCACTTGTCAGTGAGTGACTCCATGGATTTGTGCCACGTTTTGTTCTGGCCACCCCTAGCTTTCTTCCAACCTACTCCTACACCATAAAACATTGCACGTCGGTGGTTAGGCATACGGAACACGTGTCCCAGCCATCTCAAGTGAAGAAGTTTCATTACTTCATCAATCGATTTGCCATCATTACCTAGTACCCGTTTCCTAACAACTGCATTATTTTCTCGGTGGTCCTGGGATATACGAGCAATGCTTCGAAGACACCTATGATCGAATACTAGTAGCCTACGAATATCCTCTACTCTTATCGGTCATGTTTCGCTGCCATAAAGTAGGACAGAATGAACTGCTGCACAGTAAACCCGTCCTTTTGTTGCTAGACGGATATCTCGCCTACGCCATAAATGAAGCAAGTTGGCAAAAGATTCCAATAATTATTAAACAATATTTTCAAAAATATTAAAAAAAGGCTTCCATAGCACATATAAACATATCTCAGAAGATTATCATCTTTACTTTGGACAAGATTTGAAGTCCCATGTTTGATTGTGATTAGTCGGATTTACAAACCTATTTGTAACATATATATAAACACTCTACATAAACAGTAGACAAGAAAAAAAACATCAGTTTAATATGGTTGAACGAATACAGACTAGATTGTACAATAAAATGAGAGAATCTCTTCATTTAATCAATAAGGAAAATTTAAGAAATCTACTAATGAATAGTACAGTCAAATAGTACACAGCCACAGTATAAACACATTATCTTCAAGAATTAATCGGTCGGCCAGAACTGGAAACTTTCATGGAAAGCATCAAGTAGAATTGATTAGCACTGAATAATTATTGAGTGGTGACCAATAATCATCTTTTTTCAGTCATTTGTATTGACAATTCTAATGATCCACTGTAATAAGGCCACTAGTCTAGATGACTAGTTAAATTCGTATACTACTAAGTTAATTGGTGAAAGATGATCATCAGGAAGCCAAGGACATAGGTTTGGTGCTGGTCGGTATTCGTCGGCTGACATACCCTATGGAATTTAACACTGAACGATATGAGTTTAAATTAAACTGGGAGTAGACGTTCCCTTAACAACGAGGTTGATTTTTAAAGCCTGGCGCCAACTAGTACGAAAATTAAGTGTACGGCTTCCTATTGTTTGCGTGAAACTATCTAACACTAGCGTTGGTAAAAGACCACTTAAAGGGAGTCAAGGTAAAAAAAACATAGTCGCTCTGATTTTATACCAATATACATGCTTAGTTCTTACCTAACGCTAAATAAAGTGCTGATTAGTCTATAGGTAGGTCATGTACACTACAGAATAATGTGCTAGGCAAAAGGAATGTTTATTAAATAAAATTACAGAATGCTTATGGAATACGTACAACTAGTCTTCAGTCATCCATTTGCATACTGTTTTGTGTTCTGTAATCCAAGTTGGTTTCAAACAGTCTTCTCTTGCCTTTCTTTTGGTATTCAAAGTACTTTGTATACCCCATAACTTCCAACCTCCAGGGAATCTTCTCTTCAGTTGTCGACTGTAGCAACTTCTACACGCCTTTAAGCTACGTACTACTAGTGAGTAGTATTCACCACGAGACTAGATCATAAATTTGTTGGCGATTAGGATAAGTTACGTAAAAATATATAGTCTTATTACCTAGAAACAACTTGAGTATCAGAAATCAATAGTTAACATCGGCCCCCAAATGCCCTGGTACGGCCAAGAGTGGGGAGAGCCCGCTCTCCCTCTCCAAATACTCTCATATGGCTACGCGAGTATATAGCCTCTGCCAGGGAAGTCCAACTCACTGCCTCCTCGTGCCACCGGTGTTGTTCACGAAAGTGAGAGGACGAAAACCGAATGTCCGGCTCTTTAACTGGGTTGGTGGACACGGAAAGTTCACCTAGGGGAGTTGGAAAACCCTGATTCCAAACCAACGGTGCACATGGACTCTAGTATCCCGAGTGAACAAATGGCGTATGAACCTGTTGTTGGTCATCAGCTACCATGGGACTGCATCTCCTTACGATGCTCCACTGCCTTGTGGGTTAGACCTTTAAGTCAAAGGCTTCGGGTGTGGCCCCCTAAGAAAACCACCTGCTTCAGTCTGGGCACCTGGACAGTATCACAGCCCTCACACAAATTAAATGAGATTTGTGAGGCGCATATATATTTGGTGTCCCTTTGTACCAATATGTATGTGTTTAAATAAAATAAAATTAAAAAAAGTTAACATCAAGATACTCGTAGAAAAAGTAAATAATTATAAATAGAAATAAAACTAAGATCAATTGAATTCAAGTATTTGGCTCACATTGCTGTCAGAATAACAATGCTCTCCATTTCTATGGTGATCTAGATTCCCATTCACAGTTTGACTGAATAGATCTGAACAAGATAAATCAACTTGATGATTAGAATCGTTTAACCAATCCATATTTTCACCAGACACATAACCAATAAATGATCTCAATAAAATAGATGCTGGAAAATTAAAATGGGTAGAAGAAGGTTAACTAAATGAGAACAGAATCAATCTAATATGTAAATTATGTCATGTAGTGTTAGTTAAACAAGTCGCCAAATTAGAACACAGTTGTACAAGAACGTAACTGTAATTCAAATAGCAAGGGTGGATGGAAGTAGGAATCACAATAAGAAAATTGTTAGTAATGCTCATGATTTTTATAAAAGATTCTAGAGTTATTATTTATTATGATTTAAACATAAAAACATTGGTACATCGTGGCACCAAATACCTATGCGCCACACAAATCATTTGATTTGTGTGAGGCCTGAGATACTTTCCGGTTTCCTAAAACGAAGCAGGTGGTTTTCTTAGGGGACCACTTCCCGAGCCTTTGACCTAAAGGTCTAATCCACAAGGCAGTGGAGCAACGTTAGAATATGCAACCCAATGGAAACTGGTGACCAACAATAGGTTCATACGCCATTCGTTCCCTCAGGACCCTGTAGCCCATGTGCACCATTGATTTGGAATCAGGGTTTTCCAACTCCCCTAAGTGGGTTCTCAGTATCCACCAACCCGGTTAAAGCACCGCACATTCGCTTTTCGTCCTCTCAATTTCGTAAACAACACCCTCGCCACGAGAAGGCAGTGAACAAGATTTCCTTGGTAGTGGTTGTATGCACGTGTCCATGTGAGAGCATTTCGAGAGGGAGAGCTAATTCTCTGCACTCTCGGCCGTACCAGGGCATTCGCGGGCGAGATTCTAGAGTCTCCCACAAGTATCCCCAACATAATCCTACACGGAACGTGCTTTAATCTAATCTATATCCCGTTAATATATATATATATATATATATATATATATATATATAGAACGGTTTTTTGCTTCATTGTATAAACCCTTTTTCTTGATACACATCACTTACATTTGTTTTACAAAAAACACGACGTGGCTTTATACTCTCATCTCTTCATATACCTTTAATAAGACTAATTGATTTATAAATTCCGATTTGCGTAGGTTCTAGTTTTTAATTAGGTGTTAACTATACACTTATTCATTTGTTATAAAATTTATTTGTTTTGATTAGAGCAGAAAGGTTTTATAAATGAGAACTTAATACGACGGTATAAGCAGAATAAAAAAAATCTATTATGCTAACCTGATAATAAAAACTGACTAGAATGTGCATGACAACGTTGAGTTGGTTCAGATAAAAAACAGAGAAATAATAACAAAATTGAAAAATACTATTTATTTTTACTAATAATGCTAACTCCGCCTGTAGCTCTTCTAGAGTTACTGCCGGTCCCAAACCCATAACAAAGGAGGAGGGTTAGGCATGGGGTTAGCGACCCCATCCCGTAGAAAAGCTAACTCGCAAAAAAAACGCTAACCAGAAAAAATAATTCGAACCATTTAAACTCTGCCCTCCAAGTTGAAGGAATAATTATGACGTCTCATGATGAAAGCCGAAATTCTTCGGAAGTCACGAGACCGATGCATTTTCTAACAACCAGAGCAACACTCTTTATAGGTACATGGAACGTCTGGACAATGTGGGAGACAGGGAAGACCAGTCAAATAGCAATGGAAATGAGGAGATACAACTTGGCAGTACTCGGAATCAGTGAAACCCATTGGAAACAAACTGGACAAAAAAGGCTAGGTACAGGAGAGATGCTGCTGTACTCCGGTCACCAAGGTGAAAATGAATAATGTTATGTCCTGATAAGAATAATGAACGGTAACTTTTGGGATCCATTTATGGACCAATACTATGCGTATATCGATATCGTATAATTGTTAAACAACTAAACTATTCATATTCATATCCCTCTTATTATGAGCTCTATTTTGACCTATAAACTATTGTTGTACGATTTACCATTCTTGAGTTATGCCCTGTCTATCATTTACTATCTCCCTTATTCACAGCCACATTTGGCTAAATCTTGTATAAATGTTGCTTCCTATTTAAAGGTAAGATATGGTCTGTCTGTTTGGTACATAAACCCAGTATGCTTGAAATAAATTATTCATACCGCAGAGGCTGAAATTGGTGTTATGGACATAACTGGTTGGGCTAGACAGAAAGCAGGACCGATAAGTATTTTAGATGCTTGAATGGGTTTATTGCGTCATCGGTCCAATCGACAAATCACTGCTCTTTAATTGGCGGTATTATCACACTATACATTAACAGGTCATCCAGGCAACAAGTTATAACAATTACATAGACAGAAAACATTATAAAACTACGGATTACAAAGATCTTAGGTTATAAAATTTATAACATTCATAGTGAATATAATTAGTTAGCAGTAAAGCAACTCAATAATTGAATATAAATTCAATTATATTTTATGTCTACATTTATTATATGACCCCCAAATGCCCTGTTACGGCCAAGAGTGGGGAGAGCCCGCTCTCCCTCTCCAAATACTCTCATATGGCTACGCGAGTATATAGCCTCTGCCAGGGAAGTCCAACTCACTGCCTCCTCGTGCCACCGGTGTTGTTCACGAAAGTGAGAGGACGAAAACCGAATGTCCGGCTCTTTAACTGGGTTGGTGGACACGGAAAGTTCACCTAGGGGAGTTGGAAAACCCTGATTCCAAACCAACGGTGCACATGGACTCTAGTATCCCGAGCGAACAAATGGCGTATGAACCTATTGTTGGTCACCAGCTACCATGGGACTTCATCTCTTTACGATGCTCCACTGCCTTGTGGATCAGACCTTTAGGTCAAAGGCTCAGAGTGTGTCATCCTATGAAAACCACCTGTTTCGATTTGGGCACCCGGACAGTATCACAGCCCTCACACAAATTAAATGAGATTTGTGAGGCGCATATATATCTGGTGCTTCCTAGTACCAATATTTATGTGTTTAAATAAATAAATAAAAATCTATTATATGAATCCTAAGAATCCTACGTATTAAAGCACCTGGATTAATTATAATTTGTGATTTAGTTGTTAGAGGACTACGCTAAATGTGTTAGTTGAAAGATATTATGAAGCGTTATTTAGATTTTTATACCGATGTAGCATAGAGTGGTAAAATGTTCATTGTAAAACAAACAACTAACTTAGTCAGAAATGTAGAATAGAAATTAAAGAGACTTAAAATTCACAGCTTTTATCGAACACTCAGATCCAACATGTTATCCCAATTTGTTTTGAGCTGAAGTAACTTAAATGTAAACTGACAGAGTTTTTGCTATGATAATGGTGAGTAACAAAAGCAAAAGAGATTGAAAAAAAACTATTAGAGATTGGATATTAAAAAATCAGAAATTAGTGAAACTATAACAGTAGAAAAGGTATTAGTAATCCATTTTCAAATGGGAGTGGAATGTTCGCAAAAACAATTCAACTGGCTTGTTTAGGTCTTCAACGATGGTGGTTAGATGTTGCTATCCAAATTGACTTAAACAACTATTTTTGGAGTTCAATGCAATCCTTTCCAAAATATGTCGGCTGCTAATCGTCACAGTTTGAAGATCTAAACTCTTCTTACAATAAACTGATGACAATTAGTTTGACCAATACAATCTCTATGATTTTCATAATTCAAAATTATCCGTTAATTAATTATAGCTCAAGGAATTATGTAACTTGTTTATATAATGTATGGCTATATACTTGGTTTTTAACCACACTGCAAAGGTTAATGATATTACCTGAGTGTCCAAACTAAAATATATAAATCGAGGTTTAAGCCTGTGAACTAACAGGTTGAGGTCGAGTTCTTTAACCACTAACTTACTCCTGAGGACAGTAATTTCGAGAATACCAGAAAGTTTTCAAGTTCGACTAAATAAGAATCGATCGAATACCTACTATTCGGCCTTAGAAATATTGCTCGCATCTGCTGGGATCACCGAGTAAGTAATAGTGAGGTTAGACGCAGGGTATTAGGTAACGATGGTAAATCAGTTGATGAGGTGATAAATCTTCATCGACTGAGATGGTTGGGCCATGTGTTACGTATGCCTGAACACCGATTACCACGACGCGCTATGATGACTAGTGTAGGGGATTGTTGGAAGAGAGTTAGGGGCGGCCAAACCAAAACATGGCATCAGTGTTTGAAGTCACTAACTTCTAGCCTGAGCCATGTTGGCAGATGCAGACTACCTGGTTGGGGTCCGCGTGACTATCGTAATAAGTGGTTGGAGACTCTAGGTGACATGGCTCAGAATCGATCACAATGGCGTAGGTGTATACACTCTTTATCTTCCCTTAAACCTTGAGATTAAAATTGCTTCATATCTCTCTTCCTTCCTATACTATATCCTTATATACAACCTTTCCTTATGTACTACCACCACTAAATTAATTACTTCTATGAATCCGGTGTTCATCTTGTTGTGCTAAAGAGGTATGGCAACTTGGACCGATGCATAAATGTGCTTGGTCCTACGTTGTAGCTGACTGACTGACTGACTGCAAGTTTAAAAACATATTTATACTTACTGACACACGGCTGCAGTCAAATTCCTGAACCTGAAAGTATCAGTCCTTTACGTTAATCAATACGTTCTTCGACAGTGTTTATCATTGAAATGCATATCAGCCAAATATATTAGCCTATTGAAGTCTGTTTACTCGAGGAATATTGATTGGATGGAAGCCTACAGCAAACTGTCATGTAAATTGATTACGTTAAGCGGATGTCCATCGCTCCTTATCACTTCTCTTGTTAACTAAACTTGTCTATTTTTTTTAAGATATACTCCTTTCTTAGTTTGAATTTTAAAAACTGATTTCTTAGCACTAAACATTTTTGCCAATTAGAGTATATAGGCTCTTTCAGCGAAGTTTAGTGTTCCGAAAGCCTTGGCTGAGAGAGCAAAATGTTTGGAACATGTTTCGCCATCCACAAATACAAAGTGCTGCTTCAGAGGTGGTAAGTATCAATGCCTAGTTTAACTATGAGTAGTGAAGTATACCTTATTGACCAAATCGGATGTCATGAAAGTCTTCCCAACCCGTGAATTAGTGACTTATTAAATCTCAGAACACGGAAAAAGTCGTTAGCACTTTACCTACATGAGATAGCTGTGGAGTACGTATGATATTCGTTTGCTTCTATATAAATAGGCGACTATACCGCACAAAAGTTCCGTTTTCATTGATTAGTGACTGCAACAAGTAAATTTTTGAGTAAATAATATGTGTAAGCTGCTAGTATTTCACTGAAAGTGCCTTCAAACCAGTGCCTGGGCACAGTACGTGTTTCGGTTCGGGTGCCCGGGCAGTATCCTAGCCCTCACACAAATCAAATGATTCTTGTGGTGCATATATATTTGATACCTCGTACCAATGTTTGTGTGCTTAAATAAAATACTGAGTGCAGCCATTGAGCAAGTAATAATGAGGTTAGATGTAGAGCACTAGGTCAAAGAGGTTAGTGATCAGTGAGGTCCTAAATCATCATAGATTGAGGTTGCTTAGAAGTATTTATATAAACCTGTGTATCATTTACACCAACAAACTATGGCAGGCAACATAGGAATCGTTCGAGAGGACAGAGGTGACCAAAACAAAATACGGCTTTAGTCTATTAACTGTTGATCTGACTCGTATGAGGAGATACAAACTTCAAATCCAAAGTTTAGGATAAAACGAAATTACAGGTAACCACTTATTTATTTTATACACCACAAAATGGCGGCCTGTTTGAACATCTGGGCTACCTGTTCCTGCTATCTAGATATTTTAACAAGTCATTTAATTTTGTTTGTTTTAATACATCGTTATGGCTATTACTCGCCTAACCTATTCAGGTGCGTTTCTGAAAAGTCTAAAACTTTTCGTTGCACAGGTTACAAAGGCCGAACCAGAGATATCGTGGTTGCTGGCAATATGCTGCGAAAAGAATGTACATTATTTAGATTTCGATTGACTGGACTGCTAACTTCTTACTGGCGATCACTCCATATTTGTCGTCAGGATTGATCAAGAAGTAACAAACGGAAACCTGTTGAAATACATTGTGCTGAGGATTCTATATTGTACCGAAAATATAATGTTGAATAAAGCTAATGATAATAATAAATAATTTATGTCTACTGAAAATATCTACAGAGTTATCCCGACGAGATACGTTTCTGATCATTAACTTTTCATAGGTAACGTTTTTACGTAACTTTGAGCTTTGTAGACATTACTCTTATCACGGAACTGTGAAGAAACCATATGGGTAAAACTCTAATCAAATGCACACTGTATTACATAGAAGATAGAGAAGTACTGGCATAGAAATGGTGAGATTTAAAGAAGTGTGCCAATGTATACGATTGGCAAATATGTACAAAACATACTTAAATCTCAAACATCGAGTCAACATAACTACAATACCATGAGTGCACTATCAATTACAGTTAACATACAAGACTTAATTCTAAGAACGAAAGTACCATCACAACAATTATTCTTGTTTATTACGTTAATTCTGGATACATTATGAGGGGTTCCAGATTAGATTTGAAAGATTACCCACATCCTACCGAATTTTCTTGTATCTGATAGTGATTACATGGTGAGTGCAGTGGTTACTTGACCAACAAAACTGGTGAAGTTTCGTTTATTAAGAACTTGAAGATCAATTATGAATACAGAGCAATGTAAGACCCAACAAATGTGTATAATTCTCAAAATACCATATTTCATTAACATAGAGAAGTGAAATTAAGAGACGAATGTTGAGAAAGGAGAAATAGTATCAGTCAGTAAGCTACAAAATAGGACAAGGCACATTTATGCATCAATCCAAGGTGCCACACCTCATTACCACAACAAGATCAACACCGAATTCATAGAACTAGTTTATTCTATGGTGGTAATATACAAAAGGAAGATTGTATAAAAGGATACAGTACAGGAGGAAAGAAATATATGAAGCCATTTCAATCTCATCCTTTAAGGGAAAACAAAGAGTGTATACACCTACGCCATTGTAGTCGATTCTCAGCCATGTCACACAGTCTCCAACCACTCGTTACGATAGTCATGCGGACTCCAACCAAGTAGTCTGCATCTACCAACATGATTCAGACTAGAAGTTAGTGACTTCAAGCACTGATGTCACGTTTTGGTTTGGTCGCCCCTCCCTATGAAATGGAATGTTCATTAATGGTCCGGATTAAAGATTTCAGCAATCAACCAGAAATGATCAGTAAATACGAATTTATTTAGCAACACCTATGGTTTGAATATTACGTGTAATTCAATTTAATTTATAAAATATTCTCATATGTTAATAGGTGAAATTGGTCATTATGCTACAACCTACAGAAGATAACGATCAAAATCGCATTAGCATACCAGAAATTAACATATCTTAGTTAACTTAATTTTATAAAGATAATTACAATAATATAGTGATTTCTGGTTGTCTAATACTTGTCAAGGTCACTATAGTTTCGTTGATTTTAGACTCAAGATTTAAGGATAGACATAAACAATGTATTTGCGTTATTGTGAACGATTCTAGATATTATCTTACAATATTTTCAGAAACTGGTGGCTATCAACTCACAGACTCTATTCAACTAAGTAGTCTGGATCTTACAACTTGGCTCCTACCAACAATTATAAACAAGACTAATGATAGAACTAAAGAACTTTAGGCTCTCATACTTAGGTCTATCTAGTAACTTGCACCCTGAGGGATTTGACGGAAAACATTTGCGAAGACTGACATCTACTAGTTAAACTATTTCAAGACAGATAACAATTCTTTACAACTAGTGCATAGAAAGCAATATTGATTTGATGACCAGACAAAAAGCTCACTAGAAGATATTTACAAAACTCAATGAATAGGAAACGAAAAACGAAGCTTACCAACACCTCTGGACCTGAATGATGACGTGACACCTAAACTAAGTATGTATGCGACTCCTGTCGAAAGTGGAAAACTCGATGCAAGTAATTTGTAATCCTGAAACACATAACAAAAATGAAAATCAAAAACCAACATCAGCACTACAGCTTCCCAAGGTCGTTACTGTCCCTACCAAGATGCCAACTAAGTCATCGCCTGAAACTGCTGCAATAGATATGAGAGACGAATTATCCAGGAGATCCTGAAACCAGGAGGACGGATAGCTTAACAAAGGTTATTTACAGAAAGTATACCTGACTGGGAAGCATTCCTCATAAAGTGACTGCAACTTTATCACATCATATTTACAAATGGAGCGGAAACTCAGGACGCCTATATCATCTGACCCCATCCTGTTTTCCGACAGACATGACCTTCAAAAGTTCTCTAAAATAGCGGCAAGGTTACAGTCACATGTGCTAAATCCAATATCCACACTTTTCTAAAGACCAGAAATAAACCAGCCGATCAATCAGCGTTCATGTCTTGATTCCAACTACCGTAATCCATTTTAAATAATAATTTATCCATCTCTGACTTCAACTGACGAAATTTCCTTGGTCATGTGATCCACTGCTACTAGACACGGAAGCCCGTTAAGCGAAAGCTTCTTCTATGTCTTCAACAACTATTTAAACCATTTGTAGTGATCTACTTTCATGAAGAGGACGAGATCGGCAAAACGGAAACAATCATTATTATAACCAATTGTACCAGTGGTCGTTTTACTGAACCTGTTTGTTTAACTATTCCAAAAAAGCCACTATTCTGTTGCGTGTGACCTTGCAGAAACTCTTGTACTTTCAGTAGTCTCGCTTGTGCATTTTGGAACGATCTCGGTATTACCTCAATACCACGAGATCGCTAATAAATAATGCAATCTTCAACTTCCTTCTGATATTTGACCATCGGATGGGTCTAACCTAGCGACTGGCACGAGGTTTTACTGTAGTGGTGATCATAGTTAATCGCGACGCAAAGCCTACCACACCATTACTCTCGTTATAATCCGATGTATCCTTGTGACGTACTTGTACTCATCAATTGATTTTCTCACGCTCGCCTCTTGTTGCTTCAATACAGTTCAGGGTTTTTTTAAACTCATTATTACTGTCTGGCTAACTTTTTCTCCTGTTTCTTCTTTTTCAGACCTCCTAATGATTGCCGTTCTATTCACTGTCACACATCTCATCCGCAAACTGGACGCGAGCAGCTACATATTTGATACGAATCATAGAAGTGCCTATTAATAAAATTTCAACCATCTATTTTAATGCACAATGCACTGGCATTTCTAGATTTTCTGTCCTCAGTGATGTTACATCTAGTCGCCGGATGGCAGTGGTATTATTGATAGGTAATTTTCGTTTTCAAGGGTTTGGAGACGTCGCAGATATGCTGTGTTTTGCAAAAAACTGTCTTCTCAATGTTTCTTTTCAGTAATACAAAGTAAATTCGATCAGACGTTGAGAACAAAGGGACTGGTAATTATACGTGGATAATAGTGGATACATCGAGGTGTGTCTGATTTTAACTGACTAATTGTTTCAAGAGATGCGCAGCACGGAATACTCAAGTGTGATTATTTGAAGGTGTTTTATCGAGCGCCTTTGTCTAGGAATATGTAATTCAACTTGGAGACGACTTACGCAAATAGCTTGTGTCTTCTCGAGTTGGACGGGAATGTTGTAACATCTTAACTGACACCGAAGTCATGCCTCGTGGTTAATACAAAACCTGTATTATATTATCATGATAACTAGTGTAGTGTGGTCTACTTATATCCATATAAGTAGTATATGGTGATGGTCAGACATAGAATGTATTTTGGCAGAAGACTGATAAGGGAATAACTGAAATGAAGCACGGTTGGTAGGAAAATGCATGAAAAATGAAAATTCAGAAGATAGGTTGATATTTACAGAAGGAACAGTGAAGATTGAGGCTGTTAATTTGTTGTTAATTTGTAAATTAACTGTTTGCTATATGATTATCAGAATTTAGTGAGATAGTCTGCAATTTGTGCCTAATTACATTCGATTGTCCCCAACTAGTGTTCTGTTCACTATACTAGGAGAATCAACTAATTGACGTCTAGTAAGAAAGAATGTAATTTTACTCAAGAATTAGATTATAGGAAAGGACTGGAGAAGTACATAGTCGAGCAGCGACTTCATGGCTTAATCCAGGTCGTGTAACTGATTAATATGTGCTAGTTACCCTCAACACTGACGGCATTCTTTAAACGTTTTATGGTCTCCTGCAAAACATGATTGAATAGCCTAATGGATGACTTAGCTGTAGCTCACTCTCTTGATCAACTCTTGTTTTTTTTCTTCTGAAACCTCAGAGAATAATGTTTTATCTTCTAATGAAAAGCATGACAGAAGCAAAGACTGATATTGATTGTTGCATTTGGAAAATTGACTTCCCTACGGAGAATGGAATACAGTATTGTTAGCTATCACCAACTACCAAACAGAATTATTGAACGAACGATGACACATTAATTCGCTCATTCAATCTCAGCAAGTTCATCCAACGTGATAACAACACTGGCATGATGTCAATTACTGTTGTCTAGACTTATAAGAATAACTGTTTTCATACTATGGTTCAATATCCTTGCGGCCTCTGGATATCAACTATGAACTTCATATTTAAACCATTAAGGCCTTCATCTCAATCTTTTTTTGGGAGAATTATTCTTGAGGCACAGTATGGTCCAGTTCTCATACTCATGGATTTCTAAACAAGTTCTAGACTGTCACACACAGAGTACTGACGAGGCTCCAATCCGAACAAATAAATGATATATATGGTCCGATATCTTCATGTTTTTAAAATATCAGCTAAATAAAATCACTCATTGTGTCGATGAATAAAAATAAGAATTCAGAGATGAAGCTTTTTTCGACGAAGCCATTTACTTACGCTGTATATTCATATTCATAGTTGTACAGCCAATATATGTCTATAAAGTGACCCAAAATTCCAAATATCAAGTCGGGCTGTGTAGTAATAAGAGGTCAGAGAAGACTAGAAGGATGAAAATAATTCACGGGTCAGAATTACGAAAGATAATTATCCACTCGACTGATATGAAAAATAAACGTCCAAAATCGTCAAACGATAATAATAATAACTGACCACAGTTTAAAATTACAAAACACTAATTTAAATACAATAACAGGACTAAAACATACTACAGAAGGGAATTAGGTCCAAGGAAGGGTGAGAGGTTGGACATATCGTTTTTGCACGTAGAGTTCGCGCTTGAATCGGTTAATCTCCAGCGACTCTGCAGTACACAAGTTTTTGGTTCGAACTGCCTTCAATCCAAACAACTATGAGTATGCATTTACAACTTGAGTAAATAGTGATACCGAAAAGAAAATTTTCTTCGCTGAATTTTCCTTATTTTAATTCCACAATATAAATCTTTTCCTTCTGTCTAGGACTGACCATTTGAGAGGACATTCGAAGAAAATACAAAAACCGAAATCAAATCGTCTACATCTGGAGTTTCGTTTCTCACACTGAGTAGTGAATTATTGGAATTCTTTACTAGAACACGTAATATCAGCACATTCTGTTGATATATTCAAAACGACTTTGGACCTCCACTGTGTAACAAACTGCAAGGATTAATATAGATCAATAGACTCCCAATCCTTATCACTGAAGACTGAGGGCTTGTGATAGTATATTCAGCCGGCAAATGTGAGTTATTGAGGGAACTAGGATTGCTGCAATGATCAACTCGATCAGTTTGCTGAAATCTCCGTCAGAATAAACCATTCGATGAGGTGTATATAAATTCTCAGCTCAGTTAGCTTCTAACTGACTACAACGGTCCAACCAATCAGCCAATCAATAATTTTAAATCAAGAATCGTTTCTTTCTAACGGAATTGTTGATGTTACAATGCTTTTGAAAAATTACAAGATCGTGATTGATAATCAAATAAGAAATAACTAGTGTGAGATCCAAGTAAGTCTAGATCATAAAATTTCGACTTAAATGTTATCGGTCTATCCATTCTATGCATCAGGATGAATGGGTACTTGCATACTAGCTTTTCCCGATTATATTGTGCGTGAAGACAGAATATTGAAGGTTGCTCAACTACAACTAACATGAAACAATCAACGAAACCTGCACTAAATAACCTTCACTTTGATTGGCCTCCGGTTACTGATGTGAATCGTATTGAACCTATGAAAATCATGGACCAAGGAAGATGTTGAGGATTTCAATATTGTGGCCCATTTCCTTACATTCATCGTAAAATAAGCATACAGCCTAATAAAGACTTCAGCACTTCCAGACAAACCGATTTCACTCCCTTATGCAACTCTCAAGCAATTACTGCTGGACCATGTAAAGTATACCAATTCCGAATGCGGTAAAAGTGGAAAATTCGACGAAAAAATTTGGAATTGTGATTTTACTATGTTGGATGTATCTAATGATCATTTATCTTTATGCAAGTCTTCTAGAAGCGGTATAACGTCACATAGCAGTCCGGAGTTGAATGAAACACAGAATCATTGTTAGACAAAAGTATCCAATCAACCAACTTCTTATCAGATGTCTCGTGTTATTGTACCAGATATGATTTGTCATAATGATTCACATATTTCTGATTACATTTATTACAACTCTGAGAATAATATGTTGAATAAGTCGAATCATGATCAAAATCGCGGTCTCAGTTTTGGTAGGTGCCGATTTTTCTAATGATCCATTATTCTCTAATGAAACTCTTAATAAATGTGAGGGAAATATTTCAGAAAAATCAAATCCAGATGTCATATCAAATGCTATTCGTCGTCATAATGAATTTATCTCTAGTGATATTGTGGTGTGCTCTACTTATATCCATATAAGTAGTATATGGTGATGGTCAGACATAGAATGTATTTTGGCAGAAGACTGATAAGGGAATAACTGAAATGAAGCACGGTTGGTAGGAAACTGCATGAAAAATGAAAATTCAGAAGATAGGTTGATATTTACAGAAGGAACAGTGAAGATTGAGGCTGTTAATTTGTTGTTAATTTGTAAATAAACTGTTTCCTATATGATTATCAGAATTTAGTAAGATAGTCTGTAATTTGTGCCTAATTACATTCGATTGTCCCCAAAAAAAAGTTACAAAAATAAGTTACAGATATGTAATGAGTCAATAAAGGAATGCACACATCATACGCTTACAGACAATGTTAATAAACCAATAAGTGACATGGTCATAATGTAGTTTAAGAAAACTGAATAGATTGTTCTGTCCAGAAACTAGTGCAACCTATATGGGATCGACATAAAGTCAGCTAATACAAAGCCCCCCCCCCTACAATAGAAAATGGTACATTCATTTGAAAAAATGTTTATTTTCAAAAATGACACAGAAGAGGTATATGGTTAACG